TCCTATGCCCTCTGGGAAGCTAGAGGAATATAGATTTCTGGGGAGAGAGGGAAATGTACACAGATGTACTAAGAACAACCAGTGCTGTTCTTAAACATTTTCATTATGCTACGTTGCCTTGAATGGAGGTGCACCCATTTGAATGGTCTCCTGGGTAGCTTGTCTATGCAGAGTCTGCCTGAAGCAAACTGTCTGATGGCTAATTCGATATGGGGAAATTATTAGCAGAGATAGCGACTTCTTGCATCTGTTTTCCGGAGGGGTTTATGGAAGCAGAGTGGGTGGGTGCACTGGTCTATTACAAGTTCATGATGTGAAACATATGACTTTAAAATCACCACAGATTGTAGGATTAAAATTCATTGAACTCAGAGAGGAAAGAGATCTAAGGATTTAAATTTTCAACCACCTTCAATGTGACCTCTGATTTTGTGCATCCAGTTTTGAACATGCAACTGATAGTGCCCCTAAAAAAAGTGTGTCTGGCCTCAGGTTGCTCAGTAAAATTTGTGTGCAACAATCAGGGAGCTGCATTACACTGAAGCTGTAGCCTGTGAATTGTGCAAAACAGATGATGGAGGGGATGAAAAATATGGCTTCTTGGCCAATCTAACCCTTTTTGGGGGAAGCCCTAAGATAAAATGTTAATGGACCAGCCTAAAAATAATAGAGAATTATATCCCCTCTCTAGGACGATCCAAAAAACGGATAGAAAGGATCCCATTCTCCTTCAAATGCTGCTTGTTTTTAGAGTAGTTACTATGGAACACGATGAAAATTCTGCATGGTCCTCCTGGTTTAATCTCTATTGAATTCCATAAGCATTTTCTTGATAGAATCCATCCACCCACCAGTGGTCCCCTACCGTGTGTTTTCTGAAGATTTGCCAGTGGTGACGCTTTCTGATGGGCTTGATAGTGGAAGTCTGCAGACAGAAACGGTTGTGCTGATACTGGCTCTCTGGAAGCTCTCTGGCTGCCAGGCTGATATGTTACTCATAATCTCGCCAGGTCCCTGAAGACTCCTGTATTTTTAGATTGGCTCCTTCGCTCGCACGCTACGGTAACTGTTTACATGCCTGTGTGCAGTGAAGTCCCCTGGTGAAGGCAGAGGGCGTAATCTGACCTGGGTCATGCTATGCTGTAACCACCTGGCTCCATGCGATCTAGGACAGAGTGGTGACTAAGGGCACTGGGTAGAGATGTGGTGATGCACCCACTCCCGAGGGGGAAAGTAATTCCCGGGCCATGTCCTCTACCCTCTGCCGGTGATGCAAAGCAGCAGTAACACCAGCTTAACTGGCCAGTGGAGGATGCTGTCAAGGTGACTCGGATGCAGGTGGGGAGAGGGATTCTGCAGAAAAGCGGGGTGTCCAGGGCTACCTCAACTCCAGCAATGCCCAGCTGCTGAAGCGGTCCCTGGATGAGGGGGTGTGCATGTGTGTAATGTTGGGTTACAGCCATTTTGTGGTCACCCCATGGCCTATCCTCACCCTCTCTCCAAAACAGCCCAGGATTGGGCACACATTCCTGAGTGCTCTGCCATTAGTCTGGAGCTGGACCGTGTTCAAGGCCTCCTCTCCCTGATGTACCATCCAGATTCACTAAGGACCATCAACAGAAACCTCCCACCAACAAGGTCTCTAGCTGAATGTCAGCACTGCAACCATCATTTCATAGACTGCCCTACCTTTTAATATAGGGAGCAACTGTGAGGGAAAACACATTTCAAATTGATAGTTCTTTGGGCTCATTAAATTACTATTTTGTAATTGTATTAGTTAAGCATAGTGCAGCTTCATACAAAGGATCTATTGAATTGAAAGTATTTAAGGGCTTAGGTTCTAATACTGCCAATGAGGCTTATCCATGGGGCACCTTTTTCCCACCACCTTACATAGTGTGAGAAACCCAAGGGAAAGGAGAGCGAGACCTTCTCCCTTTTGACATGGACAGCATGAGTCCTGTGCACTACTTAAGTCCCACTCAAAAACTATTGAGTCTGTGGGATTTGGGTTTGTGGACTTGGTGTTTCCAAGCCCACGCTTGAGTATCCACACTGCATTGTAAACTTGGGTTTACAATTGCTGGGCCTGGGTCTCCCAGCCGTGCTAATGTGTCCACGCTGCACTGCGCAGACCTTCTGTGGCTTGACCTGTGTCCACACTGCAAAATGACAGAACTTGGACCCGAGTCACAGCAGCACTCTGGCTCTGAACCACACCCCTCGCAGCGTCTTAGAACCCGGGTCCTGAGTTCTTGCTGACCCAAGTCAGACTGATTTATGTGCGATGGAAGCGGAACTTGGGCTCAGACCCGAGTCAGAGCCTGAGCTTAGTATGCAGTGTAAACATACCCTACACTAAGTATCGGACATGCATTGTGGCTCTTCCCGTTAGTGAATTTCACCCTCTTGGTAGCATGAACTAGGGAATTGCAGAAGCAAGGTCTGATTCTCGGTCAGTTAATTTGTACCGCCCAATCCTGGATAATTTTTCAGCTCACGGGTCTGAGAACACACTGAATGACTTGCATCTGAGTTGTGAGTGTGATTTGCTGGTGGAAAAAACATGAAAGGCTCTCTCTGCATTCAGCCTCTGTATCTTTCTTTGAGTACAGTTTTCTCTGAGGTACAAACGGCAAAAAAATAAAGTCCATCCTTTTATTGAATTGAAAGTATTTAAGGGCTTAGGTTCTAATGCTGTCAATGAGGCTTATCCATGGGGCACCTTTTTTCCCACCACCTTATATAGTGTGAGAAACCCAAGGGAAAGGAGAGAGACCTTCTCACAGCAAAATGTGCTCCTCATCCCATTACTCAATCCCTCATTGAGTAATGGTCTCAAGTTGCAGTGGGGGAGGTTTAGGTTGGATATTGTGAAAAAGTTTTTCACTAGGAGGGTGGTGAAGCACTGGAATGGGTTACCTAGGGAGGTGGTGGAATCGCCTTCCTTAGAGGTTTTTAAGGTCAGGCTTGACAAAGCCCCGGCTGGGATGATTTAGTTGGGGATTGGTCCTGCTTTGAGCAGGGGGTTGGACTAGATGACCTCCTGAGGTCCCTTCCAACCCTGATATTCTATGATTCTATGATTCCCTGTAGTAATGAATATTCTGAAAACTTCCTAGCAATGAACTGGAAAACATAGAGGTGACCAGTTTTATCTGGGATATGAATATATTTGCACCTTTCCAATTCCATCTCTCTCTGTCCGGTCACAGATTTTACTAAGGGATAGAAAGAAAGCAAAGAGAACTTGGAAATATCTTATTTCAGGCCTTTTAGGAAGCTTCATCATTTGCTTTTTATGAAGGAATATTGGCTAAGAGTCCTAGGGAATATTGGGAACCCTGTGGAGAAGTCACTATTGGAATGTAGCCTCTAGATGCACCCTCCACTTCATCCTTCCATCCCCCTCTTTCATACAGAAAGTATTGGGGTACATTGAAAGCAAGGGGATTAGAGATCTGTCTTGGACCAGGTGAGGTTCAGGCAGATACTGTGCAGCACCAATCTCTGCCAATGGATACCCAGCCTGAATTATAACATCCCCATCTCGCCACTGATGAAGTGGGGCTCCCAACAGTGGTGATCTGATCATGTGGACAAATGGGGACTTGTGTTAGACCACAACATTCATTTCAAATGTGACATAAGCCCCAGGTCTCCAGTGGTGAAAAGGTAACCACTGTGGCAACTCATCCACTTCATTAACTGGCTTCACTGTCAAATTACTGATCCATCCAGCCTTCACTGATCCTCCTACGCATTCAAAATGTAGAAACGATCAGGTCAAAATGAGGCCATTGCCTCTGTTTACACCAATGAAAGTCAACATGACTCCTCGATAATGTTGCCTTTGAAGATTGACCTGGGCCTTCTGACAGTTTGATCGTAGCACTGACCAGTCTCTGTGCCTGATACTTCTGTAAATAGACCCATCTTCAGAAGATGCTTCTGCTGAAATTGACATTCAAAAATGGTGGGTTTTGAGCCTTATCAAATGTTGATGTTTGTGCCAGATGCAATAAAATGCATGCTCCCTCCCTACCTCTATTGCGGCTATTCAAATAAATGCTGTATTTAAGTGCTGATAACCCACTAGGACTTGAAACTGCTGATATTGCCAGCATGCACTATAAAGGTATATTTTTTAAACTACCTTCAACTTGAAACTTTGCAGGCATCCTGGTGACACCCATAACCATCCAAGACACCAGCATGTCAGATTTTCTCAAGTCTTGAAGGTTGTTAAAGTGAAGTGCATGTAGAAAGATAACCTTAATACACAGAGGAAACAGTCACCTTCCTGTATAACACAGGCCTTCAATAACATTGACTCCGTCCAGATGGACATTTACTTCTGCACAGAGGCCAAACTTGTCAGAGGTGACTAATGTTTATGGGTATCCAACATCTCAATTGGGGCATCCAGAATGGCTTTTGAGAATTTAGTCCATAATGCCTTTGTTAGCTGGCTAAATGCCAATCCAAATGTGGGATCTAGGTATCCTATTCAAGTGTCTGCATTTAACAACTGGCCACTATGTATTGACTGCATCCCCTTCTCTCATTTAATACTAAAAGCATTACTGTACACGTGCCAAGCATTTCACGCTTTGCTGACAGAGACAGAGTCCGGCTTATAGGCCTTAGGCAGCAGCCGAAGTCTGTGGTCGAGCAGATTTCCATTCAGAAAAGCAAACCAAGCCAAAGGCGAATGTGGATGGATCAAAACACGCTTTGAGCCAAATCGTGAGGTCCTTGCTTAGGTTTTATGCAGTCCTTGCTCAAGCCAAAATCTTACTCCTGCAGTTTTGCATGAGTGAAGACTTCAACGCTTGGCCCGTACACTTTGAGAAGGATGCTGCTGGGACTTTGGTCGGGGTAAACCGTCTCCAGAGACTCAGAAGGGGCTGGGTTGATGCAGAACCTTTGTGGTCTGGCCATCTGTGACTCCAGCTGGACCCCCCCAGACGCACAGACAGTCTCTTGCCCAGGAATCCAAATTTGAAACTTTATTTATTAAACGGCTCTTACAGGGACACACAGTCCTGGACCGTTCCATCCTGATGGCGCAACCCTACTACGTGGGACACACTGAAACCCCTCAAGACTAATGGGCCTAACTTGCCAGGGGCAGGTCTGTAAATAATGCTTCGGTTAGTACTGCTTTAGGGACCATGCCTGCATTCTTACATTGTAGCGTATGTCAACGAATGCCATCATGCTATGTATAAATTTTAATAATAATTTCCCCCTTAAAATAGATATAGAAGATGAGGATGGCTTGGCAAATAATGTAAACTTGGAAGGTGTCCCCAGCGCGCTCTGAACAATTCATGCGCAGATACATAGTAAATTATTCATAGAGACTGTCTCCAGCTTTATCCTCTTGTCTCCTTCCAGGTGGACTAAAATCCATAGAATGGGATGCACTTTGTTCTTTCCACAGCTATTCTTAGATCATCCCTGCCAGCCAAGGGGGAAGGAAGAGACCAACGGTGCCCAGTAAGCAGACTATGATGAACATCCAAAGGAAGATTCTGTCGATCACCATTGCAACGTACTTCCAGTCTTCCTTCACCTGGGAACACAGAGAGGCAAGGGATGTTACTACGGCTCTTATGGTGAAAGGACAATGTCTCTCCTTTACCTAGCCTGAGAGAGCATCTGTTTTCCATTCAAGCACCTTGTACAATGGCAGGAATTAATTCTATTAAATATGACCAAGGGATGGATTTTCAGACAGTTCTGATATGCCTAATTTGCACATGTAATTACAACAATTGTGCACACACTGCATATGCAAATAGCTCATTAGGCTTATTTGCACATGAAATAACCCATTTTCCATGGGCCACAACTGTAGGCTCAAATTAGGCAGAGGTTCAAATGGGGGGGGGTATTTCTCCCCCCTGCTTAAACATCTTCACTGAGGAGTTAACACACCCTAACCCACTCCAGGAAGCCTTTGCTGAGTCACAAGTGAAAATGAGCCAGCAGGTAAGAGAAATACCTATACCTATCTATCTCATAGAGCTGGAAGGGACCCCGAGAGGTCATTGAGTCCAGCCCCCTGCCTTCACTAGCAGGACCAAGTACTGATTTTCCCCAGATTCCCTAAGTGGCCCCCTCAAGGATTGAACTCACAACCCTGGGTTTAGCAGGCCCATGCTCAAACCACTGAGCTATCCCTCCCCCCCGATCATGCCTGTTCCCTTTCGCCCCACTCTCATGTTGCTGTGGAAGGATTTACCCAACATCTTTTCTCTGGGGAGGCCGAATAGATTTCTGTACGGCAGAGGAGGAGTTAATGTTCCTAACTGAACATTTCTTGGAATAAAGACCCACATGCACATCACAACCTTGTCTACTATACTGCAGCCACGATCTCCCCCCCCAAAAAAAGAGGTCTGAACAGACCGTAAAGTCTTGATTTATATGGATGTGCCCATAACATTTCCTATAATGTTCTGCTTGCTGTGTGATAGTCTCACCACATCGCAGGACTCAGGGCTGAAATTTGGCCATTTGGCTTATTATTTGCTGTCAATTGTAGCGCTGGTGACAGGCTCAACCGTGAATAAGACATTAACACTGCGCTGCTTCTCATCCATCGATCTCAATGCAAAGTGCATTAAGTGTAGATATGCCCCTTTCATGGATACAGAAACTGAGGCCTATTGAGGTTAAGTGATCTGCTGAAGGGAATGCAGCAGTGTCCTAAGTCCCAGCCCTCGCCCCCTCCACTGTTCCAAATCTTTGAAGAGTTAAAATGATACTGCAGCGTTATTTAAAAAGGGGAACAGAGTATATTTTTGATACTAAAATACTCTCTGGGAGCCCTTTCCATAAGTCCCCATCAGAATTAATATATTTTCAAAAAGGAAAACATTTAACATTGGTTTTTGAGTTGAAATGCTGAGTTGAGTTGAGTGCTTTGGAAAATTCCTCCCTTGGATTACCAGTGCTTTATCCAGCTAGTCAGAGCCTCATGTCAGCCAAGAAGTGTAACACAGTGGTTCTCAAACTAGGGCCGCCGCTTGTTCAGGGAAAGCCCCTGCCGGGCCGGGCTGGTTTGTTTACCTGCTGCATCCGCAGGTTCAGCTGATCAGAGCTCCCAGTGGCCGCGGTTCGCTGCTCCAGGCCAATGGGGGCTGCGGGAAACAGCAGCCAATACGTTCCTCAGTCCGCACTGTTTCCTGCAGCTCCCATTGGCCTGGAGCGGTGAATCGTGGCCACTGGGAGCTGCGATCGGCCGAACCTGCGGACGCGGCAGGTAAACAAACCGGCCCGGCTCGCCAGGGGCTTTCCCTGAACACACGGCAGCCCGAGTTTGCGAACCACTGGTGTAACAGATACCTTCATGATCCTATAAAGGGGACAGGAGATCTTGCTTTGATTAACTTCTGTATTTACTACTTCATGGAACTAAACTATGGGGAAAATAGCTGTGGTTTTAACCCAAGGTAAATCAGTAACAATCCTATGTACATGACACTGTTTTAAAATAAATGCTTTTGCAAGTTGCTGTCAGCAATTCTTAGTACAATTGAAACAAAAAGTGATTGGTAGGAGACCTTAAACGAGGTTGCTCAAAGTTAAGGGATTCCTAAATTTGCTGGAAATGCTTTTAAGCAAGTTTAAGGTAAAGGAAGCTATTCAAGTGTCAATGAATCTGTCATTTCAGCTGAGCAAGGATCACGGTTTCACAGATTTAGTGGCATCATGAATATCATTCTAGTTACCATCCAACACAATGTTATGATCTGACATACAGTCAAACAAAACAGCTCCCATGAATGCAATGGAGTCACTATGTTAAAACATCTCATCTTTCTTTCTACATTAGCCATGGTTTCATAACCGAGTTTTAGCTTGTCATAAGCCACGAAGTTTGCAGAGAAATCATGACATGTCATAGACTGAATGAAAGTTTAAGTTCGGTGTGGAATACATTGCGATGTTTGTAGAGCTGGTAGAATTATTCATTTTAAATAAGTTACCTGCATTTAGCTCTTGTTTTGGCTCACAAATCCTTTGCAAACTAATCGCGAATCTTCAGGTGTGTTTGTAATTAATAAATGTTCACTGAATGGCTTCTGCAAACAAATTTCAGTCTATGGCACACTCGTAAGCTGTTCACATCTTTGATTATTTGCTATTCCTATTACTTGCTTTTTGTTGCCCAAATCATCCAGTATTACTTCTGCTATCTGAATGGACAACCAGCTTTTTACATAGGAGAATAACAAATGATGAGAAGCGAATAAGAAATAACACGTTTCTTACATTGTTCTTTGTACTAAGATTCATGAAACTTCAGGGATTCATAAATGTTCTCACAAATGGTCACTGGAATATTTCCAAACAATGGTTAATTTCATCCCATTGTTAACCCCAGATAGAACTCATCACATTTATTCACAAACATGTTCATAAATCACTTTGTCTTCTTTGCCCAGTTCCAATATTTTGTGACATCAGATGGTACAACTCTGCAATGAGATCATGGCATGTAATTCTCCAACTTGAGTCATTTGAGAGGAGCTCTTTTGTTTCCTTGTGATGGATGATCTCCCTCAAACAACTTTGAGTGGCCCCCTTTAAAATTAGCCAAAATACAGGTCAAAATCTGAGTGCTAGAGATGCACAGTTGAGTGCATGTTACTGATGATCCAGCCACTACAACAAAACACACAAAAATAACTTGTATCACCACTGCCTACACTTTCCTAGATCTCAGATCCCTTAAAAGGAGTAAAATACTGTGCATGGAATCTAACATATATTTCAGTGACTATATATATATTAATTCCCCAGGAGTCCAATTAAATTGATATCAAGCAGTCTGCGAATAAATTCCATTGGGCAATTAAAATCCTTGCTCGTACTCACTACTGAAATCAGTTCAAAGGGGAGAAAACAGAATATTTACATTTCATGAGGCGGTGCGATCTGAACCCAATCCAGACATTATATAGTCCGGTTTTAACCCCAGCCCAGACTAATGGGCGTCTGACTCATGGCGTAGCTAGGAGTGGAAATTTGGGTGGGCTCCAACTTTCGGGTGGACGGGCAATGACGGACTGTGTGTGTTCAGCTACCCCTGCGACACCACACCGTCTGCCTCACCCTGATGTCCCCAGCCACAGGGCTTCACCTGCCGAGCTGGGCATGGGCATGGGCATGAGCGGCTCAGAAAATGGCAAGACAGAGCTGCTGGAGCGTAGCTTTCTGAAGGACTGACGCATAGCTCCATCCTGGATTTCAGGTGCCCAAGTGACGCTCCAGGCTGCTGGAGCAGCACTAAACCCCTCTCAGATTTGGGTGGGCCTGGAGGCTAGGTGGATGGGTCATGGTCCACCCAGGCCCACCCATTGCTACGCTCCTAACCTGACTAGAGGCAGATTACAGAATGTAACCTCAAGAAGCAATGATTACTGAGAGGAGATGGAGCCTCTAAAGCTATATAACTCTCCTACTGTGCATCCACCAGACAAGTACCTCCTACACTATGCTGACAAATGAACATGATTGACTAGTGTGCTCTACGCACTGCGGTGGGAGGTGTGTTTAAAATGACATGCCAGTGATATGTAAGGGAGAAGGATGCAGAAGTAAAGGGGCGAAGCACCGCAACTGAATTTGGTACAAATTATTGATCAGAGGAATGGTTGCAACTAATTATACCCTTCCTACTCATCAATGGGTGAGTGGGTGTCAACATAGCAGTAGCTAGCCCCCCACCCCACCCCCGGCCTCATCCCTGCCATTAAACCGACCCATTTGGAGCTCAATCCTGCCAGGTATTGAACGCTCTGGTTCTGAGTCAGCAAAACCTCTTAAGTATGGGAGTGTCCCATTCACTTCAATGGCAGTAGTCATATGATTTAAGCTAAACATGTGCTTAAATGCTTTGTTGGACTGGGGCCAAACTGCTCAGCACCTTGCACAATTGAGCTCTTACTGGCAGTATGATGGCTGTTTAATGCTCAGAATCACTTTCAAATACAAAATTGAGTGAATATGTCTTGATCCTGCAACTATTGGAAGCCAGGGCAAAATTCCCACTGAGTTTGGGATCAGGATGACAATTCAGAGAGGATAATTTAGACTATGAATTTCATTTCCTTCCCACCACTCATCAGTTGTCCACGAGCAACTCATGAGATTCTCTGATTTATTCATCATTTGATGAGAGCCAATGTTGGACTGTGAATTGGATTGTGACTCTCATAGTTTGATATTCAACATTTGTCCGATGTGGGAGAGCTAGATACGTTCTGGGGGATTGTTTCAGTTTCACAATTTGGTGTCTTAGGTATGTAACCAACAAAGCACAGATTTTGAACGTCACCATCCAATGCACAATTGGAAAATCACTTTTAGCAAATATTCCAGCATCCAAGGTAAAAATGAGCTTGATGTATTTGTGCTAGTAAAATGTTAGGTGCTTGAATTGTTCCAGGAAAGGAAACATGAGGGGGTTGTAAGAAGTCTAATTGAAATTTGTTTCTAAATTTGATTGTATTTTCACTGAATACTCAGCTCTTCTCGAAAATGGATTTGCATCCAATGTTG